GGCTCTTATAAAACCCCAGATGAACAACAAATAAATGTTCCGGCAAAATTACAACTATGGTTTTCCGCTAGAATTCGAGTTTGCATCTACTGTTTTCCCATTAGTTTTCGACTTTGAAATAACCGCGTTTGTGAAGTAAGCGTGCGCGACAACTGAATTTAAAATTTTTAGCTCACACATGACAGAAAATATCCCTGCAAGGTTCCAGCTTCCTACGTTTATCGGTTTCCGAAATCGTTTTCCTGCCAAAATATTTACATACTCCAAGTTCTATGTGCACATGAGCGATGTTTTAAAACGGGGAAGTGACATATGAGATGAGAATATACTCCCGAAATTTCAGCTCCCTGCTTCCCCATTACTGAGTTGAAGGCGGAGGACAAATTTCACTCGCTTTTCCGAACAAATACACATAGACACAGCACAATGTGCAAGAAAATTATAAAAATTTGCTGCAACATGCATGTGAGGTGTTTCTGCTTATTAGTGATAACGACTTGCTAGGCAAGCTTAGCGCTTATTAGTCCATGCAAATTTATGAAACATTTTCAAAAGAGTATGCACTTGCAAGAGCAGATTAAACTTTTGTACGAGCTTATGGCTTCTGAGTCTGCTTTAGAGAAAGCCTATTTTTGCTAAGTATTCATGAATATTTCAGGTTTCACAGGGCGACACTGTGAAGTGAACATCGACGACTGCTCCGAAAATGCTTGTATGAATGGCGGTACCTGTGTGGACCGGGAACAAGGCTATGAATGCAGATGCTCACCATTCTACACAGGTTCGCATTATTTCGTTTGTTCCGTTTGAATTTGATACTCCTTCGGCTGAAGATTGTGGCGCATATTTACTTCTTGCCCGAGATAGATGTTCAGTTGCCGCTTAACTGTAGCACGTTTTCGTACCATCGGCGGGTACAGTCTCTGTACATCTTACTAATAACCCCCACTGCTCCTTTCCCTGATTTCCAGTTTTTATTCCCCTTGGATGAAAATACCGAATGCATCAGATTTTTCCACTTGTATGTATCTAAGTATCACCAAGAAGCGTTCTTCGCAAGTACGCTGCTTTCTAGCAGCCCCATTTCGAGGTGCTATACTAGTAGTTAATCGTGCAAGGATTCTCAAAACTCTCGATTACAGGGGACGATTCTACTAGCATCATAAATAAAAATATTGTCCTAAAGCAGGCTTTTTCTTTCAAATTATTATTGTACCTGTTTATGAGATTTTAATAGAAGTCACACCTCAAAAATCTTTCTTTGATGGCAGTGGCACACTGACAGACTCAGCTCGCCTAAATTTTTTCTCAAATTTTTATTGTCTGTGTTGAAAAAAAATTGCAAAAAATAGCCATTAGGTCATAATTTCGTTGGATAGAGTTAATTAGCCGTAACTACTCCAGATGAGAATAGAGATAATAGTGAAGCAACGATAATAAAAAGTAAATATTAATGAAAACATTGTTATAAATGGTGTTGAAATTAATA